CAAATTACATTTGAATTTGTTATAATTTAAGAGACTTAATTGCTTCGTCTCATGTAAAAAGCTTAAGCGATTTATATTTTGAAAAGAGAGAGTAATAAGCAAGGCTGCTATGACTTTGCAATAATCATTTTGATACTCTCCATCTTGCAATGCTTCCCTGCTGATAATTGATTGCATTAATTGACTCTTACTATGGATGGAAGCGGGATGGATATCCGTGAAATTTAAGCTACACATACTCATATCCATTTAAAATTTACTATCTGTATCCATTTAAAACCTGTTAGAATATTCATTTAAGTATCCATATCCAAACCTGTTTAAATTTTTACTATCCGTACTCGTTTAAAGTACTCTTATATGGATAGGGTATCCACGAATTTTAACTATCCAAATCCGAATTTATTTAAAATATAATTTTTACTAATAATGGATAGGATATCCATGAGTACCAATAGCGGATAATGGGTAGCGGGTATCTAAAGACCTATACTCGTACCTTACCCGTATCCATTACGGATAGTAATTTCACTATCTGTATCTGTCTTAAACCCACTTAAAACTACTCATATCCTCTTTAAACAGATCGGAGCGACGCAAGTACCCTAATGTGGATGTCAAATGAGTACCCACAATAAGGTTCTTACACTCAAAGGGATACCCCTCACTCTATCTATAATGTGGATGTCAGATGATAACAAGTACACAATATCAGAAGAGCAACAATCTTTTGACATATCCAAAGAAAGGTTGGAGATGAACCCAACGCCTGTGGGCGAACTCACCTAATGGGAGGTGGAGCCAAAGAGATTTCTGACCTTGGATGTCGAACTACCCACAGAAGTATATACAAGCTTAAGAATATTCATGGAGTGGAACTACTCCGGATATGAAATTCAGACAATCTAAAGAACGCTTATTATATTTTCACAAAATAAAGTGTAAAATAGTTCTAGAATGAAATAATAAACATAATCTCAGGTTTTTTCACTTAGCATATCATGCCTCAGAAAATTTGAGAAAACATGATATGTTAAGTTTTTCTTAAAGATTTTTTTTTTTTTTACTTAGAAATGTTTGACACTCCTTATTCTGTCGCCAGGTTTACGAGTTTAGACTTAAGCAGTCCTCTAGTTCAGACTTAAGCAGTCCTCCAGTTCGGACTTAAACAGTCCACCAGCTTGGACTTCAGAAGTCCATCAGTTCAGACTTAAGCAGTCTTTCAGTCCATTAGCTCAGACTTAAATAGTCCTCCAATTTGGACTTAAGTAATCCACCAGTTCAGACTTAAGCAGTCTATCAGTTCGGATTTAAGTAGCCCATCAGTTCGGATTTAAACAGTCCACCAGCTCGAACTTAAATAGTCTATTAGTTCAGACTTAAGCAGTCCTCCTGTTTGGCTCGGACTTAAGCAATCTTTCAGTTAAAGCGCTCCTCTTAGTTCACAAAATTTCAAGTTAAGGCAACTTAAACAACTTCACACTTAGGGATGATAAGGAGCTTTGACAATTTACATACACCATCCGGTCCCAATGAAAAACACTTTATCAGAAACCCTTAGAAATTAAAATTACGCCAACATTCAAAATCATACAAAGAGGATAAATAAAAGAGTTCTTCATTAAATAAACTGAAAGGAAGTGACTCTTGAGGTTCTCCTTAGACAGACGAACCATCACCCTGTTTCTCTCAAATAGAACCACTGCTGAATTGACAAGAACAGGCAAGGAACTCCATGCTCAAAAAGTATATGTAACAATTAGTAATCATAGTATAAAAAAATAAAGTATACATAGATAATATAACACATGACAACATCTTTTAGACATAAATGACCAAATAACTAAGGGGACCTACTGATAATATATAATAATAAAGTATATAAAAGAATAATATAAAAAGATATTAGACTCAGATAAACTAGGATTCTTACTATCTTTATCCAGATATAATTATCTCTTTATCAATATAAATATTTTCAATTAAACCTAAAAGGGACTAATTCTAAAGTCTCCAAACCCTCAATTTCTGAGAGCTTAATAATAGCATATTAATTAAGTAATAACTTATATAAATTTTAATGATACGAAAAAAATTACTTAATAGGCAGTTATTGTTTTATATTATTTTTAAATAAATTATTAAAAAATAAATTGAATAATTATTTATTTATTAAATTAAATAATGTTAAATATTAATTATCATGTTAGACAATTAATAACATGATAAGGTGATGATTTATACAACTTTATTTATTTAAAATAAGTTATTTATTCATGGATTTTAAGGATATAAATTGTTATTTTTTAAATCAATTCTAAAATAAACCAAACTAATAAATTCTGCCACCTTTCATTTTATTTTTTTATTTATCTCTATAAATTTTAACATTTTAAATTTCTACTTCCAAACACATGTTTATCTATTAATTTCCTCTCATAATCAAAAAATCACGGCTATATTTTTCTTTTACCATCGATCTATCTTTTTTTTTTTTTTTTAAAAATATATCATGTTTATTTCTATCTTAATTTCCTCTCATAATCAAAAAATCACGGCTTATATTTTTCTTTTACCATCGATCTATCTTTTTTTTTTTTTTTGAAAATATAATTTTTTTTTTTTTTTTTGAAAATATAATTCATTAATAATAATATCAAGAATTACAAATAAATTTATAGATCAGACATAGAATTTTACTATTAGTAGCTAATAGAGTTCGCTGTTTTTTTAACGAAACAAAGGAATTCATATCCTTTTGAATGAAACTAAAATTGAAAAATATAATATTAGATCTTTCAGCTTGGAGTTAATCTTGAGAAAAGATATAAATCTTTATAGCAACAACTAGTCCTTTAATTGATTTGGACGTCAAAATCGTAACTCCTCTAGATCTTCTATAACTGGATAGCTTTTTCAATAATTTGCAACATATGACGAATACAATTGAGTTTCTCTTGCTATGCGTCAATAACATCAATGAAAGGAACATACTGCACTACCAGGCTCCGTCGATCAAAGACACAAGCAAATCAAGATCTAAAGTCTTCAACCAAATAAAATCAAATATCATAGTTTTGTTTAGTACTAATCCCTCACAAAGAAAGAACTACCCTCACAAAGAATGGACAAAAAAACTCCAAATGCGGAGATAACCAGTTATAACGAAATAAAAGAGACAAATCTATTATAGAAAAATAAATCTAAATTTATTAATGTAAAAAAATTAAAAGCAAAAGAACGTGAAACGAAAAAGATATTAGAAAGTATGAGATAGGGAGCTACTGTTAGGGTTTAGAAAATTAAAGAGAAAATAGAGAGCGCGCTATTTTTCTGTCGTACATTGCTGGATATACCATCAATCTATCTTTGTTCATATGCTTTAATAGGATAATAAAAAAAAAAAAAAAAAATTCAGTCAAGGTAAAACTAAACAAAAAAAATTCAGTCATAGGAAATCTATAAACTATAATATTACAAGGGGTTGGGCTTACTCTTTTGCATTTGCAAGTCCGTGCTCTAAGTACAGTCACCGAAAAAAAAAAAAAAAAAAATTCAGTCAAGGATCTATAAACTATATATATAGGTTGGGCTTACTCTTTGCATTTGCAATGTCCGTGCTCTAATACCAGTCACGTACATTTAGGCCCAAACTGGTCCATGCCTACAAATTAATGGGCTAAATGTAGGTTAATACCTTTTCTTTGGACCCTTTCGTTTTGATGGGCCCAGAGAAATGGAGTCCAATTCTTATTTAAGGCGAATTATCTTATATTATAATGAAATATATTAATTAGTTTTTTTAAATTAATTTAATATCCATTCTAATTTAATTTCTTCCAACTATTCTGACCATTTTTAGGTTTTCTGTTAATATCTATATTAATAATAATTAATATTTAGATTCTATTTGTTTATGAAAAATAAATGGTTATAAAATATTTTCCATAATATTTTAGTTTTTTGAGGTATAAATGAAAAAATAATTAGTTTACTGATCAAATGAAAATAAGTTTAAAATTGAAGAAACTAACATTTTCCACAAGCCATGTTGGTGTTGTGTGGAATTGGAAACCACATACAAATATTTGCTTCATTAGGAGTGTTCATCAAACCATTTAATCCTCCAAATCGATTCAAATCGGTTTAAAATCAGTTTGACTATGTAAAATTTAAAACCTTAATTTTTGATTTGGTTTACAATTTTGGAGTCAAAATTTAAAATCAAACCCTATATGTGTGTGTGTGAATAGGGAGAGAAATATTAAGATTGTCAAAAATAGTCTTTAAATTTATATATTGAAAAAAATATGTTTAAATATTTTAATTTAACTAGTTATATTAATTTTCTACTTAAATCTAAATTTTATTATAAAATATAAAATTTAATACAATTTCTAATTGAAATGTTTCATATTAACTACATAAGGTCCTTTCGTGCAAAACAGAGACATCAGAGTGTTAATGAAAATTATAAAAGAGTGATCAAAGTATCAACGGAAACCATAATTTAGAGACTTAAGCTTAGTTTAACTATAATTTAAAAATTAATTTCTTTTTTGAGAATAAAACTAATTTTTCAGTTGTCAATCGTTAAAATATAAGGTTTAGCGTGTTAACTATTTTAAATATAAGATTTAATGTGTTAACAGAATAAAGATTTTTATGTGTTAATTTTGAATTTATTATTATTTTTTTTTAATTTTTATTTTCTAAAACAAAGTGGGTAATCCTTGTCCGTTATTAACTAGTAAAGAAACCAATCTTATATATAAACCCACCACAGCAGAGAACTAATCAGATGCTTCACAAGTAAGTTGTACGGTTAAAGGAGTTTTGGGCGAGATAAGTGCTAACCCTAAAATCAGTAAAAACTACCATCCAATCAGATCTCAGACAATTGCTTGCTTTTTCTGGTCATACAAAGGGCAAAAAACCAAAAGAGGGAGGGTATTTTCGTAAATGAAGAGAGGCAGAGCATCCTTAGAATTTTGAAGAGCTAAGCAACCAAACCAACGAGTGTTAGAGAGAGAAACTTAAATAAAAAATAAAAAGAACAAACAAAAGAGAAGAAGAAGAAGAGAGGAGAGAAGCAGAGAGGCGCCATTGCTGGATCTCTCCACAGAGCAATCGCATCATCGACTCTTATTTTTTGGAAACTATTATATCTTCTCACATTATCGAAATCGAAAACAGAAAACCCTAATTTGGTTTTGTTTGTGTTTGTTGCTTCTATAAATTCTCTCCTCAACAAATTTTTTATTATTTTATTCCGGTTTTGCCCTTCTTGCTTTTTTTCTCTCTGATCATCATCGGCATCCTTTGTCAGATCGCGCAAGAAACCCTAGTTCTTTTTGTTCTCTTCATGGCAAGCACAGTTAACGCTTCGATATCATCGTCGACCCCCACCATTAATGATCACTCCCCTCGTCATTCCCTTTCAGAAAATCATAATACATCACGCCGTGGCGGTTCAAGGGTTGTCCCTTCCCCTTCCACGTCATCTCCTTGGACTCAAATCTTTCGTGGCGAATCTGATTCAATCGCAGTTATGCCTTCTTCTCCGTCGGCAAGGGATTCCATAATGGCTGTGGCTTTAACCGAACAACCAGGGGTGATGGTTAGTTCTTCTTCCCTAACAACTTCTTATTTGCTTCCGGAAGGTGAGGGTCTAGATGACTCTAACGGCAATGCCGGTAAGAGGCCTGCCTGGAGCAAGCCGTCTAATGGGGCTGTTGAGGTTGGGCCTGTCATGGGTGCTGTGTCGTGGCCTGCTTTGTCTGAGTCAGCTAGGGCTTCAGGGAAACCCTCCCAAGATTCACCTAAAGGTTTAGCTGATGGATCATCGTCTGTCCCGGTTATTCAGGTTTGATAACTTGAATCTAATTGGGTTTATTTGCCTTTACTAGGGAGATTTAGTTAGTATATAAGTATTTATGTTATTCTCCGGAATTTGGTTTGTTCATTCTAATTAGGTGTATTCTCTGTAATTTGATATTATTCACCTTCATCTGCTGATGGAAACATTGAACTGGCTAGCATGAACTCAAACTTTAGCTGCCTAAGTTTAGCAGGGTATTTGTATTTTTCAAAGCAAGCAAAGACACCCGTCGCCCGCTTATTGGCTTTCTAATTATGATCATGGATATCTAGAGAATTAATTTCTTTTGCCCGTACTTTCTTAAATTTTGTTTCTCCTCAATATTGTGCTATTAATTTTTTGGTATTTATGTAATACAGGGACCTGCTAGTCCATCCTCATCTTCACAGAAACAAGTTAGCAATAATGCAAATCCTAATTCAACTCCAAACCACACAGTGCCAGCGCGGCAAAGGTCAATGAAGCGTAATAGTGCTAACACGTCTTCTAATGGTGGCACTTCCCAGCCACCAGGATCACAGCCTCTGATAGGAGAAGTTCATTCAAATAACCCCTCTCCTAGAGATCATTCACAAAGGAATTCACAGTCCCGTAGTGCTAATGATCACCCACAGCAGCAGCGCAATTCTTTCAGGCGCAATGGTGGGCCACATTCTCGTGGAGATGGTTCTCACCATCACAATTATGGGGGTAGGCGCGATCAAGATCGCTCAAATCAGGATTGGAGCAGTCATAGAAATTTCAATGGTAGAGATCCTCATATGCAGCAACAGAGAGTTGTGCCAAGGTTTATGAGGCATCCACCACCTCCACCGCCGCCACCTACTACAGCCCCTTTTATTGGACCCCCACCAGTGCGGGGCTTTGGGAGTCCCATTGGGTTCCATGGTAAGTTACATTTGTGTTAGTTCTGTTGTTGCTTATAAGTGAAACTGCTCTGATTTCCGCATCATTTGTAGAATTGGGATCTCCTGTGTACTATGTTGCTGGTCCACCTCCAGACCCTCTAAGAGGTGTCCCTTTTGTTGCGGCCCCATTACCTCCTCATGCAATGTATTTCCCTGCTCCAGACCTTCAGTTGCATTCTAAGATAGTGAATCAGATTGATTATTATTTCAGGTATTCTTTTTACTCGTATTTTTGTTTGTTGTTCCAATATCTATCTGCTACGAATGCATTTTATTTCAAGCTTATTGGGAAGTTAACATCTGTTGCATCTCAAATGTCTTTATTGCAGTAATGAAAATTTAATTAAAGATACATTCTTGCGGCAGAACATGGATGACCAGGGCTGGGTACCTATTAAATTAATAGCGGGCTTCAACAAAGTGAGTTTTTTTGGGGGTACTTGACTTTTTTTATTTGATGTTTTCATATTTCTATCTCTACATGACTTACTCGTGCTCAGTGCGTCTTGATTGTTTGAAATATAGATACATACCTAGCTTAAATCACATAGCTATATCCAAATTAAACTGTTTATTTGTTTTCGTTTTAGCTGTTTTTAAACTGAATAATATACTTTCATGTATTAATGTAGTTTAGACTGTTTATTATCCTTTTCTTCATAATTTTTTTTTTCTGCATGTAAAAGGATAGGATGTAACTGAATTAGCTGCTCCTTCATTTATTGTTTTGGTTATCATTTATGTTTCAGTTTCCTGCCAGACATTTTACTATTGAAGTTTGTTATTTGTGTGTGTTTATAAAATGCCTTCATTTGTACATTACCTTTGATAAAATGTTTCATAACCAGATATATGCACATATATGATAGTTGACACAGTTGGAATCATTTCATGGAGAAATGGAAATGCACCTCCAATGAAAGCTCCATTAGTTTTTTGTTAATATAAACTTCAGGTCTGTTATTTATTCACATTTTAGGGCATTTGGTTAATTTTTCATTTAATCATATATATATATACATATGTACATATATATATATATATATATATGGGGGGCATTTTGGTTAATTTTGTCATTTAATCAATGAATATTTATATAATACATGAATGTACATATAGTATATATATATAATATGATGTAATATATGTACAGTACTGTGTGTTTGTACGATGTGCACACTTGCCTTATATATGTACATACTGTGTGTTTGTACATGTGCACACTTGCTTGTTTGTCTTTGCATGCCTTGAAGATTATGTAGGGGGTGACAACAAATTGCATGGACAATTGTAAAGACCTTGAAAGTGGAATTTCTATAATTATGTTACTGATTTGTTGCTTGCTGAGGTATTAATTTGATCTCTTATTTGTGATATGATCAATGCATGGATGTACATTATTCTGCATTATGTACAATGATAGTGCAAAAAATTGCATTTTACCAATCTTCCATGAGACACGAACACTTCCAAATAAGAGAACCTTTTTAAACATTTTGGTTATATACCTCTTGTTTTCATGTCTTTTAAATCTGCATTTGCGGTTATTGAATTTTAATGTGGTTTATTTCTGGTTAAGTAATTGTTTGTTGCTCAGCTTAGGTTCTGTGTTGAGTTGGTGCCTGATGAAAACAACTGACAGGTTTCAACATTGTGCTTAATCTGATATTCTGTATTTGTGTTATAGAAAATGCTAATTTGTAATGCTTACTAAATGAGAGATTATTCTCCTGATTAGTTGCCTGGTTTGGACATACATAAGGACACCTAAATAGATAAACAGCTATCAACCACTATGGAGTGAATTATACTTGAATATCATCGACATTTAGGGAGCCCCTGAAACTTTTGAAGCTTGAAGAGATTTGGGTCAACACTAGTAGATATTGTTGTGCACTTTTGGTTGTCACTTGTTCATTTGTGGTTATGTACATCTTTAAATGTAAAATTCTGCTAAGCTTGTTGCCCTAATGCTCTTCTTTTTCGCATGTGCTGCGTGTTGATTACTGTTTTTGCATCTTCAGATGCATGCTTGCATATCTAATACTATGAAACCATAAACTGCAATATCTTATCTACTAAACAACTATGGCGTTAGTTGCATCTGAACTATGCTATGTGGTTCGTTTGAGGCAGTTGATTGGGTTCTCCTGAATGTATTAGTGTTTGTCAGAGTAATGGTCAGTGCTGGAGTAACTTGTCCTACTGAGGTTGTGAGACGCATCAAATGTGTATGGTGCATGACTTACCTGCATGATTTATTCTCAAGCCCTCAGTATTGCTTGACTTTGAAGTATGGTGACTAAGCACAATATATATATTTGCTTTTATTGCATCATCCTTGCAGTAGTCACATGGTTATACAATTATATATCCATATATACAAAGAAAGAAGAATATTTTCCAATTGTGCAGAAATGATACTAAAATATTGCCCTTTTTAATGTCTACAACAGCAAATAAGAACCACCACTTAGTTACAAACTATTTGGTGTCGGGTATATGAATCCTTTGTCTATTTAATGTCTATTCTATTTTTATCAGTTATTTGTTTTCAAGAATAGTGATTTGTTAGCCAAAAGATTCATATAGATGATTTTTTAAAAATAATATAATAATTGTACTTTCCATGTTATTGGAAGGATAGTGTGGATGGCAGTATACTTTGAGGCTGAGTCATATACTTGTTGTTTGTTTAAATGGTTGTGAGCAATTGAGTTGGTTATTGGGTTTGCGTCAATTCCATTTTCTTTTTCTTCCCCTTAATGTTATGTTTGTTCTTTGCATAAAGTGTTCCTTATATTGCTGGATAAGTTTTTTTTGTTCATTTCAAACTTAATGTATACATTGTTGATTTCTCTATGTATTTGCAGTATGTGGGCCAATCTAATAATTTTATTAACAAATTATTCTTTGTGAATTTATAAACTATTTATACGATATTTGGAGCTTTATTCTAAAAAAAGTTAGGGTGAGACCATGATTGAGGTCAGAATCTGAATATTTTGTCTGCAATCAGTGTCCATTTACTTATGATTAATTGAATGGCCAGAAGAAGATTGGTTTGGGTGCTTTAAGCAACACATTATAGGGGTTTATGTTCCTTTTGTTGATATGCACCATGTGTCTGCAAGCTGGGTTTATTTAATTGCTAGCAGAACTTGCACAGGAGCAGTTCTATTAAATTCTCAAGAAACCTGGAGTCGAGTTCTACAATTTCTCCTGATCAACTTATGTCGGTTTTAAGGCTCTACACTCCAATTCTAGCTAATCAAAATGCGGTGGCTGCCTTAAGTCCTGGCATTCAGCCTCTGCAAGTGTAATTTTTTCAAGCAATTAATGCGTATCTTCCTTTGGTTTATGTTTCAGGTTTCACACTTGACTGACAATGTCCAGCTTATATTGGATGCTATAAGAAATTCAACTGTTGTGGAAGTCCAGGTATCTTTTTCTGTACCTTCTTAAGGTCCATTATTGGTCATTATTTGGGAAATTATGTTTTCCATTGGAATCCTTGAGTTATACAAATGAGATGAGGGTTAAAAATTTAGGTATGAGTCCCAATTTAGGTATGGTTATTGTGTGCCATCGCTGTCCTACCCACCTCCTCTCCTCTCCCTTCCCACCTTTTAAATGTTCTCGATAGATAATTTTCTCTACATGCCATATTTATTTGTTGTCTGTGTCTTCTCTATTTAAATTTCTTTTATTGTATTTTAGGGAGATAAAGTAAGGAGGCGAAATGATTGGATGAGATGGATTATGCCCCCTTCTGTCCAGTTTCCAAATGTCTCAGTTCCTGCTTCACCTGGGAGGTCCAGTCATGACATGCTGGCAGCTCATGTCCATAGTATTTCATTGGAGGAGACTGCCTCTAGCCACAGCAGTGGAAGGAGTCAAGCAGATTTTCATAATGAGGCATTTCTTGGTAGATCATTATCCGATGTGAATAGCCAGTTGCATATATCCAGTGCTGAAGGATCTGGCTGGGTCAGTGTACAAGGAGGTTCGGGTGCATCTACACTAGCAAGAACTTCGAGTAAGTAAAATGTGTGCTAATGCACATTTTACTGGAACTTTTGGTGGAAAGTGGGGGGTGAGAGCTTTTTGATTACACTGGTGGATGTCTCACATTTTCTTGATGATATGGTCTTGCCTTGGCACGATGAAACATGTTTCTCGTGTGGGGCAATTAGGAAGACAATTAGAAGGAAAACAAAAGAAAACAACTTTTAAAGACAGAAAAAAACAAAAAAAAAAAAAACTAAAACGGAAAAGATCAAAAAAAAAAAAAAAAAAAAAAAAAAAAAAGACAGAAAAAAACAAAAAAAAAACTAAACGAAGATCAAAAAAAAAAAAAAAAAAAAAAAAAAGGAAGAGAAAAGAAAGAAATGAAAAAGAAAAGATTATGACTAGAGACTAGTAGCATGAAAGTTTATTGGGTTGTAAATGTATGGTCTTTGTTTTTTTTTTTTTTATTTTGGTGGGGGGGGGGGGGGGGGGGCGGGGGGCGGGGTTGCACTTTCATCCCATAAATATTTGTGGTGGCTGGTTTGGAGTTTATTAATAGGGGAATTTTGGTTTTACTTTCCCCTCACTGCCCCTCAGCTGGTTTTTAAAAATCTTTGGGGTCAGAATTATTATGTTTTCTCTGAGATGGTACAAAGCTTACGGTTAACTGGTGTCGAAACTGCCATATAATGAGGGAAAGAGAGGTGGGTGTCTCATGGGATGCTGCTGCTCATGCTACATTCTCTACTGCTCTATTTTTGGTCACATAATCACTGGCTCTGTTTAGGGTTTCTCTTTATCACATTATTATATCTAGAATTGCATTTATATGTATACCTTCTTCAAACCTTTTGAAGATTTCACTACATAAAAATGGTCCTCATACAGAGAAACCATTGGAACATCCAGTTTTAGTACTGAGATGTGGTTGCCATTTATATTTATAATTATTATGTTAATTTTAAGACTTGGAGATTGTGCAATTTGGCCTTTTTGACCAAATTATTTGATTATATTATTTATTAGTTTGGTGACTGATCAATAAAGTGTTGGATGCTAATCAGGCTCTAGATTTTTTTTGCGCTCTTTATGCTTTTATTTTATTTTTATTTATTATTTCAGGTCATGGTGTTCTTTGACTTAGATGGAATTGAAATTATATTCAAATTATTTTTTATTATTTTTTATTTTTGAGTCTTTTTGTTATAACCTGTTACGTATTACTCTCATATGTGTGTGTAAATATGGAATTTCTCAAACCTTTTTTGATAAAAATCTTTTTTAAAAATATGGGAATTTTTTAATTTAATTCATAAAAATATGCAAGTTTCATTAAAACATTTGAATTCATAGAATTATATATATATAAATTCAATAGTCGAAATCTGGTTAATTGAAAAGTTAATGAACTTTTGGTGTAAAATTTCTGGTATATAAATATTTGGTATTTGCTTAAGATAGTAACATCCAACTATTCTTTTGTTGTGGTTTGTTATTCTTTGCTTGATTGTAAAATTAGAGTTTTTCTTTTCACACACTTGTTATTCTAAAACTAAATATTAATAGTTTTTTTACTTGCTTTTTTAAAATTTATAAATTTATGTAATATCCACTTTATGTGTGAGTGATTTGAATAAATAATCATTATAAATAATATAAAAGAATAAAAATAAAAACGAGTAGAGAATTTTTAATGGAGATGAGATTAATATTGTTGTAATTTAAATAAATAAATTATACTATATTTTTATAGATAGTGAAAAGATAATAAAAAAACAAGACAGAGTTAGCATGATAAATCTAATAGCAAGGTAAAATAATTCCTGAAAGAAAATGAGATATATCTTAAAAGAAAGGAATATGGAATATGAAATGCAAACATAAAATAAGATTTAAAAAACATAATAAGAAATGTATTTTTTTTTTTATTTTATTTTAAATGCTTCTTCAAAAAATTAGAAAAAAAAAAGTAAATAATTTTAAATAAATGCGGGTTTATTCATCTTTAATAAAAAAATCGAATGACAAAAAAGAAACAGACGATTCCTAAATTATCTCAGAAATTCTAATGAAAAAATTCAATTAAATCTTTATATTTTAATTGGAGCTATTTCAATTTTTAGAACCTGAAAATTTTCATTAATGTGGTCTAATAACAAACATCATTGATTGAAAAATGATTTTTTAAAAATGATTGAACAATGAAAAATTAAAATTATTATTATTATTATTCAATATCACTGGATCCATCATTTTTGAGTGGGAGCCAGTGAGAGAGGCCTTTCAATGCAATAAAGATGAGCCGAACTCATGCATGAAACCAACTCAATTTGTTTGGCAGGAGACAACACCCAATAACTCAATCAGGAATGGAATACCACAACACCCATAACTCAGCTTGATTTATCAATTAGTGATTTTAGTGCAAAAAAAATCGGGTGCCCCTACTGTTCAAAATTTTTTAAAAATAAACAATAATTTTTATTTTATGAATAATCCAATAATGAAATAATGTTTTCAATAAAAAAAATATCTAAATAATGAAATGGTTTTTCCATTGAAACATATAATTTATTTAGTTGTTTTGATACAAATATGAAATTTGATCACTAGTCAATGAAAATTACGCAAAATATTAGTATTTTGCTGAGAATATTTCAATATAAAAATATTTAAAATAATCAAATGATTTTTTCACTAAAACATACAAATCTTCTGATGATTTTAATAGATAAATGCTTCATGTAATAAATGTTTCATACACATGTATAGATGCCAATATACTCATTTGATCTTTTTCAGCACACAATAACCATTATTAGAAATGGTTCAGACTTCTTGCATAAGTGTCGATATTTATAAATATTCGGTATAGAAAAAGATATCAAGATATTAGAGAAAATAAAATATGCCAAAATTTACATAGCAATAGAGGGCCTCATGATAATAATGCATGGTATGATTAATATGATTAATATTAATATGTTAATATGTTAATATAATAATGCATAGTAAAGAAGGAACACGTTTTGATGATGATCTTGTTGGATTTTTCTGTTTGAAGATAATTTTGTTGTGGAGTCACTTCGATATGTGAGACCCACACACTTTTGAAAAGAAAAAAAAAGGGAAAACATGTTTTTTTTTTTTTTCAAAGAAAATTCAAAAATGGCTACGCCAACAAATTAAAAATGGATGTGTTAATTGCGCGTCAGTCGATCAACGCACAATTACGCATCCTCTTCTCCTATAAACAGGAGAAGTTTTTTCCTCAACAATATGCACAAACAAAAGAAGAATTCTACAGAGGCTACGCCAACAAATATAAAAATGGATGTGTTTAATTGCGCGTCCAGTCGATCAAGCGCACAATTACCCGCATCCTCTTGCTCCTATAAACAGGAAGAAGTTTTTTCCTCAGTACAATACTGCACAAACAAAAAGAAGAATTCTACACGTTCGACGTATGTTGTCTACGACCCTAACATTTTGAAGAAGAAAAAGAAGAAAGGGAATGCAACTAAGGTTTTTTTTTTTTTCCAAAGAAAATTCAACAAAGGTAATGTGGCCTGACGGCCACGAGAAATTAAAAAATGGATTCGGTTGGCTTTTAATGGTGCGCGTCACAATCGACTCCAGCAGCACACATATGAGCGAACATCTCTCTCCGTATGAAACAGGGAGAATGTTTTTTATGCCTGCAAAACAATATCGGCAACAAAACGAAAAAAAGAATTCTACATGCCAGCGTAAGTGTAATGATGAATCATTAAGGTAAAGGGTTTTCCTAAAATTGGGAAAGAAAGAAAATAGATGAGGATCTATAATTTATTGGGGTGTTTTTTGGGAAACACTTGGAGTGCCACTGATCTTTTTGTAATCTCTTTTGTAACCTCTATTTTAGTGGAAGAAATTAGTTCGGGAGAGTTTGTCCCGGGACGTAGCCCATAACAGTTTGGAAGGGTGAAGACTACGGTAAATCTCGATGTCCCATATTTTTCTTCATCTAGGCACTTATACGGTACAGTTATGTTAATTTTACGTGAGTACTTATTCTGGTGAATTACGATCCTTCAGACACTCCAATACTAATCTGGATTACGATCGGGTGTAACATGTGGTAATAGTAACTGTAAATCTGTAACTCGACAGCGTCTATCTAATACTTTATATTCATCGATGTAAAAGTATACATTTCAGGGTATGTAGGCTACGTGTGCTACAACCGCGCGCTCGATCTTTTCGCGCGGCGGGACTCAGCTTCGGACTCATTTACAACCGAAGCAATCTTTGACTAGTATAAAATGATCTTCAAAAGTAGACATGCTACATGGTCTTTAACTTGATTGGATGTACAAAATAAGGTTGATGAATCAGGTAGGTCGTCTATTACCACTGCGGACTTGTGTAGTTTTTCCAAAAACTTATTACATATGACGTCAATCCACTATTTTTGTAATCTCTTTTGTACCTACTATTTTATAGTGGAAGAATTATTCGGGAGTTTGTCCCGTGGACGTAGCCCATAACAGTTGAAGGGTGAACTACGTAAATCTCGATGTCCCTATTTTTCATCTAGCATTTACGGTAATTATTTAATTTTTACCGTGATTATTATTTCTGGTGAATTCGATCCTCAATATCCAATACATAATTATTAGAGGTAAATGTGGTAATAGTAATTTAAATCTTTATCAGCGCTATTAACTTTTATCATCGGTAATTTTATTGTACTTCTACGACCGGCATTTTTCCGCGGGCTCCACTCGGGATCATTTACAATCCCGACAAATCTTGACTGATATAAATCTTCAAAGTAGCAGCTAATCCTTTAATTGATTTGGATGACAAAATAACTTATTCAGATCTTCTATACTTGGATTGATTTTTCCAAAAACTTATTACATATGACGTACATGGATGAGTTCATATTATTATGCACTAATAGCAGAAATTAATGGAGAACAAGTCGCACTACAAGGCTCCATTGATCAAAGATATACATCAGTGAAACAAAATCTAAATTCTCCAACTAAATAAAATCAAATATCATACATTGTAATAACAAACCTTCACAAAAGAAGAAATTAAATCCTCACAAAAGAAGGGAGAAAAAAACTCCAAATACGAAGACAAAGCAATAATAACAATAATAACAAAAAACAAAGAAAAAACATATCTATTAGAAGAAAATAGATCTGAATTTATTAAAAATGAATAAAAGATTAGGAGTGAGGAAAAAAAAAAAAAAAGAAAAGTAGGGGCATATAGTTGATTAACAGAGACGACCATAAACAAAA